ATTATCACTTGTCCACCGGGAAGTACCATGGGTGGTTCAACAAATTCCTCCCTGGCATTTGTATCGGACTGTGGCGAAATGTAAAAAGTGGGTTTCCAGATATTTTTTCCACCAGATTCGTCGACGTACGCCGATGCTTGGGTGGACTCGTTCAGTCGATGGTCGGTCCAGTTACACCCCAGGTAAAAGGAGATGGGGAATTGCTGTATAGAGGAGAAAAAACGTCTAATGATCCGATATCTATCTGTATCTGTATAGCCCGTATAACCGCCCTTCGGTGTAACACACCAGCTTCGCAGGCACGTGGCGCGGCGGCAGCTGGCTACATTACATCGAACGACCTGTTACACCTAACCCTTAACATCTAACTCTAAACATTGTTTAAAGCTATCTAATGACGATGCCCCTACTTTACTTGTGTATCGTTTTCTTTACACTCCCTTATAACTTGAATAGAATTGTTGAGTGCAGGTAAATGAATTATTTCGTTAAACAGTGTGCGGAAACGACTTTCAATGCTCTCCTGGATGTATTGGTAAAGCTACGCCTCAGTAGATAAACACACAGTAAATGGCACAGAGAATGCGAGAAAAATGAATCATACCATTTCCTTTTCTAAGAACGGACCGAGTTTGAGCACGTACATTGTGCAGTCAACGTCAAGAGCTGTGAAAACAATTGAAAAAAAATCCAATCTGTGACTTATCTCTATAACGTTACACTTAATCATGATATACGATTATCTGCAACCCTAGATATTTGGGACTAGAGCACTTATATAGGAGTAATTATAAGGTAAAAACATCAATACATTATTCACAAAAGCAAGGTATAATATACTAATGTTTATAAATGAAGTCAAGCTCGATAACCCCCCCCCCCCGAACACAGCTGGATTCCCCCAACCATGGTTAGGAGTAGGTCGGGAGCAAGGTTGGTTTAGTGTAGGTCTGCCACTGTTTGGCTGTGCCAGTCGGCTGTTTTACAATGTTTAAATCATTCGGATGTTTGCGGGGGTCAAATTTGACTTAAATTTAAGTCAAATTAATTTTGAGTCGTATAGAAAGGTAGGGGCTTTAATGGTAGCATCTCCACAAACAGAGACAAATACAGAACAGTCAAATGCAGGACAGACGGACTTGAAAACTCTTCCATACCCTACGTAGTGAGGCTTTTAAATGCTAATTACCCTAGTAACACAGCTGCCCCCCCCCCCCTCCCTTATGATTTTCTTGAAGTTTTTCCGTGATAGTACATGTATAAGCTACAATTATCGCTACAATTTCGTATAATGGTAGTTAACTTCAGATCTTACGAATGTATTAGTGTTTATTACCACATTTCATTGTAATATGATAGGAATATGTTTAGGTTTTATTTCAGAACAAGTTTCAAGAAAGCTTGTATTGCGCTAAATCAGCAATTCATCCTTCGAGCTGCGAGTGATTTATATTTTGATAAACCATTAACCATCATCGTCAATCAAACCAACCGTGACTCACCAGAAGTGGTGGGTCGTGATCGGTTGCTATAGTCCAGCGGGACAGTTATATAGTCTGCCAACGTGCTGGTGTTTTTGTGTTCTCCTTCCGAGGTGCTTATGGCGATATCCACGTCTTCATCACTGGAATGAGTCACGTCAGAAAATGGATACATACATGATAACTTCTATACACGATATCAGATATGCCATCAGACTTGTATCAGAGCCTGCATCGGTGTGTGTGTAGTGATTACGAATAATACAAATTCCAAAACATGATTTGGGATAACACGAAGTGGGATGCATCTGTCTTCCAAAACGTGGTGAATTCCAAAAGTATGTCTTGGAATAACACGAACTGGAATACATCTGTATTCCAAAACCCGGTCCATTCCAAAACACGTATTGGAATAACACAAAGTGGAATGCCCGTTGTATTCCAAAACGTGTTATATTCGAAAGCATGTTTCGGAATGTCACGTTTTGGAATGCAACAGGCCCTCTAGCTATATAGGCTACCTCCCTGGTACCAGATGGAGCTTCAGCGTAGATACAGCGAGATAAGTGTGTAACACTAGCTGTTATCAGATCTGGAGAAATCTCAAACACGACGTATAGACGCGATGCGGTCCCCACATAGTGTTCACTCCTTAAGCTAAGGTCCCAATTACGCCGGTGCCCGTCGGGGATGTAGCCCCGGCTGGCCCCGGCCGGGTTCAGGAGTCGGGCAGGCATCGGCTGTCGTGGTCACAATTAAAAGTTTCCTTCAGTAGCATTTTGTTAGAAATTTTGTCACCCTCTTTGGTCGGTCTCCGGCAGGCACCCGGCAGGTACCCAGCAGATTCTCTGACGATGTCTTGTATTGACCTATACGAAATGCAGAATTCATGTATTTGTTGTGATCATTTGATCTGTGAGGTCACACATTTTACCCGGGTTTACGAAGTACACACCTTTATTCTGTTCATCTGGTCTGTGACGTAAGAAATGTGTCCCGGTGGAATGCCGGCAACCGGAGGGGTACCTCTCGGTGTTCTCACGATGAGGTCACGGCGTCTTTTTGTCAGCGGGGCCCGGGTAGAATTTAACTCAGAATTAAATTCTTATCGGGGCCCCGACGGGCCAAAAAATAGCCCGGTAGCCGCAGGGTGCCCCGCGGGGCCACGTCGGGGTCCCGCCCGAAAGTGGTAAAAAACAGCCCGGGAACTACCCGCCAGGGCCCCTTTTCCCAATTGGGACCTTAGCTTAACGAGGGCCCCATCTCTTAAATCTGACATGCTGACCTGAGGGGCACCCTAGAAAATATAATGATGCATAAGTTATAAACGTTATGGAATATATTCACCACCAGTCTAATATTAGCACCCAATTGCTCCACGGTGTTCGCACGTTATAAACAAGATAGAGGTAATTGTTGATGCAATTTACTCACCCGTTCCGTGTTTCTCCCATCGCTGGCATCAGCTGTACGGTACATAACACCAATAACACCACAGACCTGAACGCTGCGTTACCTTCCATTGCGGTAGCAATAATCCTTGCTGTACAACACGCACCTTTACTGTACATTTAGTAATGGTATCAACCAGGGGGTATTTCATAAGTAATTCTGGAAACACGTTCGACTACCATACATACTGCAGCCTGAAAAAAATCGCCTCTGGAAGAAGCACAGGTTGGCAATCAGCCAACATATAATACAATCAGGTACTCTCAGACTGATACATAATTCATATAACACTATCTTAGAAATGTGGAGATGACAAATTGTTATGATATCTTATTAACGGTCAATCTCTATACAATATACTAGTAATAGTATAGTATCTAGCTGAGTAATAATATGAAGGCCAGTTCTAAAATAACCGAATGTCAAGCTCAGCTTAAGATAACACATTACATGTCATTGAGCTAAAAGATGTCCTTAAACAGCTGCTTTAATTGAGGCATTATCATCTGGACTCTTGATTTTTTTCTAACGAAAAACATTAAAAACAAAATGATTATTCTAGTCATTATTTTATGTTTAATGTGGTATAACGAGTAAAAATATGTTCGGACAAATTCCCTATGGTAATTCAGCCTTTCATCTTTGGTTGCAGACAATTAAGAGAGAGGAAGTTGAGCATATTCAGTTAACTCGTAAAAGCACTCCGGCGTTCTGGATTGTGTCCACTCAAATAACCCATGATTAATACTAATGGCCACGCTAACTGCATGTAATCATAGCTCCAGAATAACGTGATCCCTGTGAGGGTTTTGAATTTTCAGTCTAATCCCAGTGGAATTGGGACGAATCGTTGCAACGTGTTGCATATTTCAAACAATGGATCGATAATGATTGAGAGTACCCAGTGAGGTGAAGTTGACTTATAAAGAGCGTGAGGCTGTGTTATGTAATAATCTCCAGGCAAATAAACACACACACACACACCGGTTGATTGAAAAAGGAATGCAACAAAAATGGCGCAGTATCATACAGATAACATTGCCATGTTTATTGTTCCTTAAACGTGGACAGAATGACGACAATAACAACATAGTATAAAGGCTTTAGAAATTGAAGCATGAAATTCAATACACATGTACATTATTTTATTATTCTTTCAACAAGCGTCTCGTATTATTTTCATTTTACCGTTTAGCCGAATATCTGAAGAAACATTTCGTCGTAGATTCCGTGTTTCCATTTTTCGATAGTAAGCTATAAGGCCATACCGTCTTAATTTTATGGATGACATCCTCGGAAGACCCCAAACTAGTGCGCGCAGGCGAATAAAAAAAATTCCGGCCAAAAATAAAAATGCTACTAAACCACAGGAATACAAAGCTGGTACTGTGAATTTGCGGCAGTACATAGCGACGTATACGAGAAGCCGGCTATTTGCGGAATGCTGGCACATGCTGTTTTTTTTTTGTGGAATTTATGAATCGGCACTGTACGTACGTATTGAGTTCTTGAGTCAAGCTTCGGTAGCCTGGGTGCCATCCTCCAGAGTTATCACCAGCTATGTTTTCTAGCTAGCTACCATGGACTATCCAGGCCTAGAGCCAGACCAGAGCCTCGTAGGACGTGATCTTTTTTTTTCTTTTGAGAACAGGCGAAAATCAATGCGCGCGCGGGTGTCATCCATAAAATTAAGACGGTGTGGCCTAACAAGAAATCTCAGTACAGATCTAAGCGCCACCTTTTAAGCCTTGCTTTCATTGCAACCATTGTTGATAACCATTGATCCACCTGCATTGCATATCTAAAATCGCACGGTGGCGTCACGTGTATTTCAGGTGGCACGCCAAACGTTTAATTGATCACACATAACAGAGAAAGTTACTTGTGACAAAACACCCACAAACACAGCATTCGTCGTGTATTACAGAGCGACTTTAGTACGAGTTTACAATTCAATTTTGCTTGATGTCAATGAATTAAGTGTAGAAAAATTTTAGCAGCTAAAAAGGGTTTCTTCACTTAATTCATTGACATCAAGCAAAGTGGAATAGACAAGAGAGGCACTTACTTACGAATGACGCGAAGGATTTTGAAATATATACTTTCCTATCAAATGCACAAAATCTAGTCTGAAGAAAATGCTGCTGTGGCAAACCACTTGGTACATGTGAATATCAATTGTGACTATATTTTTCGATGCTGAGACCAAAGGCGACGGCAAGACCCTCTTTACACTGGGTGGAAAAAAGTTGATAGACCAAAAAATTGGATTTCATTTCATTATGTTTCATAGTATGGATGAAATATATTGTTTTCCCTGGTGTATCTTCTCCTCCTTCTCCTGCCATTTCGTAAAATGGGTTCAATTGCTCTATTGTGGGGCCAAATGGCCTGAAATTTGACATGGAGGTAGAGTGGGCAAATACCCTCAGGCGCAGGTGTCTTTCGTTTATGAAATTCGCTTGAAGTACTGATCTTTTTATATGAAAGTTTTGGACGACGCTACGTGGTCGCTCATCAGTCACCACCTCAGTGCTAAGGGGTAATACCTAGTCTCCACGCAGACTCCTTGGCAGGCTGAATAAATACTTAAAATCTGCCTAAAATGGGGCACATAATTAATTGGCCAGGGGAATTAGCCGGCCATGGTATGACAAATTGGCCCACGAATCACTGCAAAATTGTGTTTTAGCTCTGTGAATCTCTACTAGTACTAAAATCCACCAGACTCGAAGCATGGGCCGTATCAGAGTGGACCTGGGTGAGGGACGCCAGAAGTTCCTCCTCGTCGCTCAGACACAGCACCCTGGGGTTCATCCTCACCCCCTCCACAAACTCTCGGATCTGCAGTTTCCCGTCCCGGTCTTTGTCCAGCGTCGCGAACACCCGGTCACACAGCCGGTCTATCGGTCTGTCCAGCGCCGCAAGGTCGTCCAAGGTCGCCTCGGGGTTCCGCAGCTCCAGGATCAGCTGGAATAAAGTCACGTGGTTCGTGTGAGTGGGTCAGTATTCTTGAGGAAGACTGAAGGTACAATAAAAGAATGTGTGGGAACTGAGCTAGCCACAGTGGAGTGACGGCCTCTTCGGGTTTGATGTTGGAGATGTCCCAAGAAAGCTTTTAAGAAGTGCTTTTTAGAAAAAGTTTCAAAGTTCAGAACGCCTTAGGCATGATACATTATCTCCCTGGACGGTCTAAGAGTTTACCGGATCAGAGTCAAGTCCAACTTCAATTTTAGATATAAATGGCCATTTCTTCGTAACGTCACCACATGTAATACCTTTAATAGGAGCGTTTGCCAAGCAAAGCCGCTAGCGTTAGCAAACCCAGACCATTGAGGCTTTTCACCTTTTTCTGACTCTTCTAACTCTTCTAGTTGAATGCTTCGTCTTAGCTTTGCTATTTTTATGTCAAAGACTACAACTCTACCGTGCCTAGGGCTTTATACCTTTAATAATCACTCTACCCAAGTGCTCTATGTCAATGATCGCTGCATGAGCAGGCTATAATTAAAATCTGAAAAGACTGCTGTGGAACTGACGTTGAGTGGTTCCTGTCAGGCTAGCGTGTCTAATTTCTCTCATTAGAGCCTGGAAATACGGAGTTCAGGTCTTTTGTTGACTGTCTTATCTCCTACGTTACAGGACGGAGGAAATGGAAAACGTACGTTACGGACTGAAAGAACATTATTACCGCCTTTAGGGATGTAGCGTTAAGCCCATGTCACACATAGCTGAATATGGTTTTCCGAAAACTGACGAACTCCCCACAACAGCGGTTGGATGTAGGTCGGGAGTAGCCTCCTGTGCAGGCCTCCGGACGGGTGGGAGTTTTCTGGCGGATACAAACCTTCTCTGGGCGGCTGGTTGTAGGATGGCCGGCAAAAGAACGCGTGAAAAAAATGTTACAAAACGCAGTGGAAAATTCTACGAAACGCAGAGAGGCCTGCACAGGAGGCTAGGTCGGGAGTAAGGTCGGCTGCGGTCGGCTGGTGTTCGGCAAGGTTGGCTGCGCCAGCCGAATGTTTCAAAACGTTCAAAACATCCAAGTGTGGACGGGAGGTTGGGCTACGTTTGGGGACTGAATATATATATATATGTGTTGTTTCCATTTCACCCACAGAATAGCTTTCGGCTATTTCTTTGTGCAATTTTCGTAGGCTCGTTTGAATCCCACTACGCTGTCTGACCTTTAGGTTGGCCCAAATGTCACAGTGACATGACACTAAATGTTCCATTTCAAGCGCAAAAGGGCAAAGAGTCTAGGGCTATAATATATCTGCTGCCATTTCGCGTTCCTCTTCCCTCATAGAATAGGCATCATGAGTTACGGAGAAGCCCTGTAAATTCTAAAAACACATTTCCGCAGAGCGTGGTTCAGTAAAGTTTCATCCTGCAACTGGGACGTTTTTTTCTCGGTTTTACACCTTCGTACATCGTTGCACATTATGGAAGTCTGGTGCAGAAGCCACAGAACCTAGTAGGCCACATCGTTGAATTGTGCAACGTTAACTTGTCTACTTGGGGGCTCACCCCTCGTGTATATGGAAACCAATAGAAATATTTTGAC